CCAGGCAAGAGGGTGGGGACCTGAGTCAGGGTCACAGCCTTGGTGAGCAACGTCTCACCTACTCGTTAGTAAACCACCATTAAAATAGTTGCAGAAAAAGTGTGTATGAATTGGCATGATAGTATTGGATGAAAACGAGAGCAGTTCTCATGCTCCTCTGCTTCGTTGCCAGCGAAGTTTGTACCTCTAGTTGGCCCTCTCTTTCCTGCTTGTTCCTACCCTGCCGCTTTTTCCTCTCATTCCTCTTCCTCCTCTTCTTCTCCAAGAACTGAACCACCGAGGGATGCCTACCCGAGGATATGTTCTGATCTTTGTCTTCTGGGCTCTGCTCACCATCATTACCCCGACTCTCGTCTCCTGGTCGGCGTCAGCAAAGCCAAATCTTGTTGCTCCCGGTGAGTAGCCTTTGCCTTTATATGGTCTGCTGTAATCGATTGCTGACCCGAGATCCTGCTTTCCGCGCGATATGCCTGCCGTAACAGGGATTCAATTTTCTTGTCTCTCTTTTCTTTTCTCGAAAGAGACAAAAAGAAAGCAAAAAAGATGGATCTAAACTTGCTTCCATTTCCATGTAAGAGGCTGGCCGGGAGTAGTTCTTGAGTTGGAAACTTCTCTACACGCAGATTCTTCTGTTTGTGCTTCAAATTTTTTTACCTGCTTGCGCATGACAGGAGAGACTTTGCTGGAGATGAAGGTCAATAGGAGAATGATGGGTTCCGTAGAGACCGCTGCCCAACTAAAGAACGGCACCAGGAAGACGATAACACGAGCAACGGCGCCATCGCCGGCTGCAGCTCCGGCACCAGCTCCTGCGGCAGGACATGACGTGCTCAGCTAACGCTAACACTTCCATGACGGCGGCGTCGATTGACCTTTGATTTTTCAGGTGATAGGTATTTATATATATACGAGCGATTGGGGGGTATCATAATAGTGTGGCAGATCTTGTGAGTTCTGATCACAAGAAAGAGTGGGTAGATCACTCCTAAACCATTTGCTAGAGAGGATCTTCCCTTCCCCAGCATTCGTGGTAAGAATTTCTTGTAAAGATCCACATTACATGATTGTTGCCAGCGTTTGTTCGATTCAACTTTCATCTGTCGCAAGGCCCATCCATGATTCACCACTCTGCTTTCTTTCCCATAAATAGAGCTCCAACTCTCTGTGCAGCCACATGTCCTCTTCAAAACGTGCTGCAGCTTTACAGGGTACCTTCGAGCTGACAGCCACAGTCGCAGTTTGCGACCCTCGTCGCTTGCACGGATCGATTCGCGACAACAGCATTGGGGATCGATGCACGCAGACCTTATCGTTGCTTCGGAACAGGGTGGCCAAGTCTTGGGATCTTAGAGCAGTAAAATCGCAGGCAATGAGATGGAACTTCTTATTACTATCATTACTGTCATTATTCGAACAAAAACTCGACTGCGCTCTGGAAAATTAGGTCCATCGCATGCTTTTTCTTCGTATGTTTCGATTGATTCTTGGATCGGGGGGAAGAAGAAAGGGACTTGTTGGTCATGGCTAGGTCATCGTCGATGCATCTTGGCTCGTTCCCCCGAGATAGACTGAGGTGTTCCGTCAATGAAGTGAAAAAGACGACCCTGCCGAAGTGACAAGAGATTTCCTCCTTGTTGTTGTTGTGATCGACTCTCGAGTTTTATTGATCGACGATGAAGTCGTACCACATTTCATGTCGAACCGGAAAAAGCTCATCTCTTCTTTATTGTTTGCCAGAAGAAACTGAGCAGATGCACTGTGTGTTCACGTGATCTTCCCTTTTGTCCGCAGCATGAAGAGTTCTCTACCTGTGCGCGTCGCTCCTGCTCTTCGGACATTATGTCCTCGCTCATTGAAATCTGGCTTCATCGGCAAACATATCGATTAGTAGCTGTGCATTTTTCTGTTCTTTCCCCCGAGACATAAACATAACGAAAGCATGATAAGACTCTCGAGGCAGCAAAATCTTGTAAGAAGAAAAATTAGATGCGTTCCTCATCACGAACAACAGGAGTTGGTCTTCCTAATGACGGTAGAATCTCGTGAACAGAGCTGATCAAGACAAATTGGAAGAGTCATTGGCCATGGACGACTGACGAGATGATCTTTACGATGCTTTAATTGTTCTATCAAGATCGTTGCTTTGATTCAGACCATCTCTGTCCCCGTGATTTAAAGTACATTTGCGGAAGCATTCAAGTGCGTTCCCAAATTTATTTCGAGTAGTACTGACAGATATCAAGCTGTTTCTAGTAAATCTGACCTTTCAGGTTCTTCGTGGTTTCTTGCTACGAGCCTGCAAAAAATTCAGATTGAAGCAGTCAAAGATCTGTACTCTCAAGGAGCAAAAATATAGTTGCAGGAAAATAATAGTAATAAGACGCTCACTTGGGTGATAGAATTCCCCTTTCCACGATCAATAAAGTAAACATGTGAGAAAATGGCACCATCGAATAAAGATCTAATGCAACTGTAGTTTGCGGAAACAACCATAACTCGACTAACTCTAGGTGAAGTAATAATAATAAAATGAATGACATCACAAACAATGCATCTTAGCCCATTAGATCTGAAATTTGGAAACGTTGTTCATGATACAAAGGCTGTAAGATGCAAAGAATATATGTGTTGTATATAAAAATTCCATACATGAAAGATATAAAGATTGATTGTTATCTGATGCAAAGAATTGATAAATGCAAAGCATTATATTTAGCAACAAGTATGTCGACATTTTAAACTGGCAAACACAAGTAACGTAAAACAATCAAATGCATACATGGGGCAAGAAAATCAAACAGATCACTTGAAACTTAGATTGCTAGAATTTCGTCGTTAAATAGAGGTTCTCTCCGAGAGCATATCCAGGAATTCGCTGACAGTGGTGCATCTCACATGTGGATATAGTTCGCTTCCATCTAGGCCGGAGGAGTCGATGCTGAAGTATGTATGATCACCTTTTACGAACGCAGAATATATAAAGAACAAGTCTATGTTGCTCGGAAATGGGGTCTCTGAAATTTATGAATGTATTGAAGCAGGAAAGTTAATGAATAAAGCAAATCTGAAATGAAAGACACTCGGAAATGTGTATTTTTTAACTCACCATGAATACTTTTAAGAAGCTGCTCCTCTGTTACGTGAATCTTTTCAAGTTTCTTACCCATTTTAACCTCCCAAATCTCGGTCAGCTCATTCTGAGAGTAGGCATTGCCTGAAGGTCTCAAGTATAACACCTTATTTAATGTCCTTGTGTCGTCTATTGCACAAATTGTGAATGTAGCAACATCACTCTCTTTGACAAAAACAGCTGCAAAGAGAAATGGACCAAAGTTAAAAGTTGTATGCAAAGAGTAAATTGTGGATAACAGAATGCTTGTACATTCCAGGATCTAAGTTGTGACAACTGACCTTTAACATTACCACTACCGAAAATCTTTACTTTGTCTGTTGGAGGAGTCTTTAGACCTGGTTGTATAAGTGATGGGAGCAAATATCTTTGGAAAAAGTTACAGGAAATATAGGTGTGAGGAATGCCTTCTTTCTCGATACAACGTCGAATTTCAGCTTTCTTCTTATAAAAGTCATGATCCATCTCGACGGTTTGAACCTTGTCAGGGTCAGCACCAAATTCAGATGGGATGAACCTCTGCAGAAATTTGGAGTCAGGTTAACGATAAAACACCATAATTTGCAGAATGATATTGGAGGTTTCCCTTTCAATTGTGGAAGGTAACTCAATCATTTCCAGTTAGTAATTTCCGACAGCAGATGTACTAGTTATTCACTACAACTTTAAACAGGGAGGGTATCACAGGATGAACGAGAGCCGCAAAGTTGGTAGAAAATAACTTGATAAAATGTAGCGGTAAACAGAACCACGGTTAAACTACAGAACACCGTCCTTGATGCTTACTAGAATGCAAAGAATAAAGACTTTGCTTCTTTCCTCCCTTCAAATGAATACACACAACATACACAGTGATCAAGATCAAGACATGAAAGCTTTATGCCAATGGGAATATACATAGCTACAATGCTGATTAAATGATGTTGGTTGAAACCAATGAAAGGTAACATTTCAAAATTACCTAGACAAGCTATGCCCTATTTGCAAGATAAAACGCCTGTTGATATGAGAAAGAAGAATTCTACCAAAATCATCTAGACAAAGGACAAGAATTCTGTTAAGATGGATCTCCACCAACAAGCACAGCTAATTCTCCCCCCAGTTTGCATCCTACTTGAACTCCAGATGGTTTTTAAACATACAGGAAGATAGGAATGACCTGATTCACAAACATGCAATTGTCCATGGAAATAACCTCTCTGCTTGTACATATAAGGTTTCTTGCAATGAGCATCCCTAGATTTAACATCGACGGGAGGCTTGCGCAGAAAGGTGGTGCTTTACAAACATGTAACTGTCTCATTGCTCGTAAGACATGGTGAAACTAAGAATGTTTAGAAGGTTTTTGCAGGCTAGTAGACAATTCTAAAATCATAAATGCAAAAAAAATGTTATTTTTTGAAACATAGATTTCGGTTCAAACTTTGTTGTTTCTCCTCCATTTAAAGTCGGGCATCGGATAGACATGTTGTAGACATACGAAATCCATAGTAGTCAATCTTGCACGTAGAATCACGTAAGGTGTGACCACATTTTTTAGTTCACATCATCGTATCAATGAAAAGTAACAAGCTCAAACTCAAACAAAAGGAATCTCTGAAACTATTTTTGTTTACCTCGATGCACCCTGCTTGTTTTATAGCTCGAATTAGAAGCTTTTGTTCGAGCACTTGACTCGATGGTACTGCACAGATGACCACATCTACTTGCTTGAGAGCTTCGAGAAGACTTGGAAAATCTTGTAAGGAACCCTAATGGAATCAGATGAATTAACACTGGCACAAGAGGGCCTCAAAAAATGCAAACGAATCAGTGGTTAGTAGATGATGGAATCATTTAATCAGAGCTTGTGAACAAGAATCAGAGTTTTCTTCGTTTGCTTTCTTTTCTCCAGAAAATATACCGACCGTATCAATTATCATTCTGCACCTTTCACCTATGAGGCATCTCAAATGACTATAAATCGTTAACAAACCATAAGTTTATAAAGCATTCAATATCATCAAAGTTTGCTTTTTGTTCTTTTGATAGAAACAAATGTTTCGAGGCCAATGAGTCGGTGCAAAAGCCAAGTATTCGATATCTTAGCAGTTGTCATGGCTGTAAATTCAATATTCTCTATGAACCACGCCCAGAGCCTGTCCGACGAATCCCACTGATTGCCAACGAAGAATTCAGATAAATCACATATAATTACCTCATGCCCAAAAGAACATCATATTCAATATCCTAGTGTTCTTTTGGGGCATCTTTCCGAAGAAGACAAGATGCCCAAAAAGGAAAATAGAAACCAGGTTGACATCCAATCGAAGCGTACAGACAGAGCAAGGACAACCTTGAGGAGGGTGACGCCGCTGGCGGAGAAGGATCGGAGGAGGAGGGAGGCGTCGGCGCGGGAGAAGGTGGGCTCCCTCACGAGGGCGTAGGTCGGGTGGCCCGCGGCGAGGCTCGCCTTCACTAGCTCTTGACCGAATCTTCCTGTCGCCCCAATCACCAACACCTTGCTCCTGCTCCCCCCAGCCTTCTCCTCCCCCACCATCGCCATGGTGAGCAGACTCGAGGGATCTCGTGGGAGAGATGGGATCTACCTGTCAATGGGGCATTTTCATGTCAAAGTGCTCCCTCCGAACGCCGTCGATGGGATCTACGTACTTGTCAAAGGGGGCATTTGGTGAAGAAACAATAATATATGTTTTATATATTAAATTCAAGTTTCACCATAAACATCTGTAATATGAACATATTATATATCTCGCATCATTTTTCTAAGTCTACTTCTTTTCGTTCATGTCAACAGGATATGTTCACATCCGTAGCGGTAAATATGCTCTTTCAAATAGAACTTTTATCTTTAATGTTTTGTAGGACTAATTACATGTGTTTGAACTCTATTAGTAGTGTGATTTCTATATTTAAAAAGTTTATATTAAAATTCTTATAGTTTTATAAGTAAAATAAATAATTTTATTTGTCCTAATTTGATTGATTATATTAATAAAAAATATAACATGTGACACAACGTGTTTGATTAATGTAAAAATGATGAGAAAAAGATAATTTTAATGTCTTTTTCATTTTTATCGAATGCATAATTGTCTTGTCACTTTGACTTGTCTCTCGCTATGTCATTATGATGCTTAGGATTCATCTTGCTTGGCTTTTGGTATAGCAAGAGCGATCGTCATCAAGATGCTCTGCGCAAAGTTATTGTCCCGTCTAACTATTAGTGTAGCGAGAGTGACCATCACTAGGATGTTCATGACATGATTGTCATCGTCGTTGACACTAAAGTCATCCTCCTTATAACCATGTAGCCAAGCACCTGTTGTGATGTCCTATTCCTGGTCCTTGCCTACACCACCTTCGATGTTTATGGTGCTCACATTATCCTTTTCAGGGTACTTGTCGAATGCAATTGGTTTGACATTGAGACCTTGATTGACGATAGAGGCATCTTATCTTTCTTCTCCTCTCGGTTTTCCACTAATTATCTCTTTATGCAATGTTACTCTCGTGGCTCATCATTGAACTTCATCACGTTTGTCCTTTTTAGGTGGCCTAGCTCGTACTATGTGGAGAGAGATTCATGACATCAAATCACTACATAAGCTCTCAACTCCCATTATTTATTACTTGACTCTTACGTTGGGCTTATAGCAACGTTAGTGGATTCGACCCCATGCTCTCTTTATCACCTTGTCAGTCACAATCCGAGTTCTAGGCACTATTTTTTCTGTTGCTCGTCGCTAATGTTTACGATGGTAGCACTAAGCATCCCAATGGTGCTCGCTCTCATAATGCTTGGAGCTAAGTGGATCATGTGGCAAAGCAACCAGGTCTCCCCCTCTTCATGAGAACCTTGACCTTTATCGGTCTCGTCATCACCTCCTCCACGGAGGTCAGCTTTGATCAAGTGATCTTCAACTCCATCTAGCTCCTCTACATGACTAACGATATACTTACTAAGTTACTCAATATTGGAAATGAAAGGGATATTAAAAATTTCTTTTTACTCATTACTTTCATGCTGATCCAACATGTAATATTATATATTTATATTTTTTATCAATATAACTGATGGCGTTACGACAAATGAGTTATTTGTTTTAGAATTATAAAGATCTCAATATAAAATTTTTAATGAGTAATGCTAATATGTAATTAAACATAGTTTATGACACTAAGAGATGATGTTTTAAGTTAAATCACTTTTGACGAAAAATTTGAGGAGCAACTTTTCACCAACCCTCCACGACTATCGAGGAACGATTATTAAGACTTGATAATCCAGCTTCCTAGTCATGGAATGTTCAAAATATTCTATCTAATACTCATATTATATCCAATAGGCAAGTTCATGTTTTGATTAACTTGGCGAGTGGCGTGGAAAGAGTGATCATGCGCAATATGATATCTTTATAAAACCTAACCTGTATAGCATCTAGTGCAATATGATGTACCTAAACTGACAGCTACTGCACACCGATCCATCCGATTGTACAAATATTATTAGTAACCATTGAACCCAATTCATGAACATAGCACTCAATTATTTGTTTTGAGAGAGATTGATGTAGAAGGTGCTTTGTTGAAATCCCCACCACAGAAAAGGATTGCAATACGATGGTCGCAGTAACTTAATAATGGTTGACATTGCTATTATTTTATTTAAAATCACCTGAGCACTAAAGCCGGTCCAGTCCTTCAAAGTTTAGACTTAAAAAAAATAAGTTTAGCTGACGAAAATATGGAGTCTCGAGGCTGAGATGAAACATCACGTCGGATGTGCCATCTCGAATTTGGGAGGACACTCATCCTTTCCCGTGTCGTTCGAAGTTGTATGAGATAATGTCTATAAAATCGCTTCGGAAAGCTTGGAACAGCACCCGCGGCGTCATTCCGTGTAGGTCAATCGATACTTGCATAGAGATATAAGTCGACTGTCCGAGGAGTAGACCACCATCATCATATCACATATGATCTACTCTCGCTCGTATGTATAAAAACCTCTTGACTAGCATCAGGTTGGGGGGATCCTTTTATTTTCAAAAAAAAACTTCACTCGATACTGACTTAACCTTTGAAGTGGTTGAGTCAGGAAATCCCCCTCTTAACCATAGCTTGTATGCAGAAACCCGACAATAAAGAATTAGGCCACTCGTCAAGAGAGGAGATTGCCCTTGGGAGATGAGGCTCAAACTCAACTCGACCTAACAGAAGCTCCCATCCAACATCTATTCGCACAATGATCCTATTCATCGGGGGGGGTCGAATCGAACCATATTGACATCTCGACCACGATTTGAGAGTTCGTTAACAACAATAAATGAATGGATGCTATCGATCTTTCGATGAACTATTGTCTTTCTACTACTGATATTTTCGTGATGAGCGGTTGTGCTACTTGCACGGTCCTTATTGTTTTGATGATCAGTATATTTATTTTATTCAATGTTAAATTATATGATTAGATTTTAATTATTATTATTAATTAATAGACATAAATTTTAGTTATAATAAATCCTCTACTCTCTCGTCTAAAGAAAGAGCCTCTTAAAGACTCAAGAGTATAATAATAAAATATAATATTAAAATTTTCGTAAAATAATAATTCTGGCTCAAGACAACTCGAGTGGCTTACCGCTTCATCATCCGCGACGAACTCAAAAAAAGATTGCCAGAATCCATTCTTTGGTTAGGCAAAAGCTGCAAGCACTTGTATGCCTAACAATAATAATCGGCACTTGTTCAGATTCACAACGTTGAAGATTAAAGAATGTAACTCGATCTAAATAGATTTGGTAAGGCTCTTACTTAATACTCATGGATGCGGGAACATTACTGGTTGCACATGGCATACATATTATACTTGCGTGTACACGCTGTTGCTAGTTAATGTTTGATGTCCATACGCGGGCTTAGAAGCGTGGCAAAATCGGATCAGATGTTGATCCCCATAAAAGCGTGGCAAAATCGGGCATGTATTTGAACTTTTTCTTTGTAATAATGCTTGCAGTGTCCAGACAGCAAGGCTCCAATCCGTATCACGTAAACCTATCTACTTGTAATTGTTCCTACTATCATGGAATGGAAAGCCAATATTCTCGATTCACGGCATAAAATTGCGGATATAAACAGAACTAAAGAATATATTTGAGGAACATGATCTTTCATTTCGAGAGAAACCCACCAGAATTTAAGTCTGTGGATGATGATACAATAATATCCTCGGATAGGATCCCCAGGAACGATCCAATCCTAACATGTGTAATTTGCATTGACACGCAGCCTGGAAATGACTTACACACGGCATCTTTATGTGTCATTACTTGTGGCAATTGTTTCATGTTCTTCCAGAAAAGAAAAGATGAATCGAGTGAGATCGAGATCTATCTCCTTCTCTTTCTGCGATCCTGCTGGAATCGTTGTTGGGAGTTGCGATCATGGCCTGCACTGCGCGTCCAAACGTGTTTCACGTTTGCGTGCCGACCGACCGGGAAATCATTTGTCTTCCTCTAGGCGATGTGTTTGTGACCGTCCGTTGTCCGATCTGCATTTCCATCTTGATCGTCGACTCTTGGTCTTAGCAGCCAGTCCGGGAAATCATTCATCCGCAGCAACATCACACGTAATACTCGTGCAAGCTTTCGGGTCAATCATGCAGGAGACCGCCGCGTAGCCGCGTGGGCATATATTACTGAATAACGCTTGGCCCCACACATCGATTTCTTTTTCTATCCGATAATATGGCAGGTAGGATAGAGGGTGACCTTTCCGAACGTGTCGGAAAATTATTTTGTCGGAGCTAATAGAGGTTACAATAGCATTTCGGCAGCTCAACAAAGCCGGGCCAGCGTGTGTGGTGAAGTGTGAGCACGTGGTTTGAATTGTATGAACAGCATACCAACCGTGTTTCTCTCCTCCTCTTCGTCTTCGTCTTCCTTCTTTTCCTTGTGGTACACGATGCATCGGCCTTTAAAACAGACTGACCATCCTGGTTTCCTCCTCTTCATGTAGGCAAGCAGCTAGCAGCACTAGAATACATCTCTCTAGCCCAGCTTTCTCTTCATCATCGGAAGCTTTGGCAAGACACCATCCAACATCTGCTTGCTCTCGAGGATCGCCTTCATTGATCTCTGGGAAAAGGGGAGGAATCCAGTAAGTAATCATCAGCAACGCCAAGAACCGAAGCTGCTTGTGGTTGATTCGTTCTGCTTTGGGTTTCCTTCTCCCGACAGTGACGGCGTCTTTCTTCCCTCTTCTGTGGGTAGCAGGAGTGTAAACAGATGGAGGGCAAACGATGGTTGTCTCTTCTCCTCCTCGTGCTTGTTCTCGTGGGCATCTCCATGGATCTCCCGAGAGAAGCTCCGGCGGCTTCTTCTAATATCTTGAAGAGTTCATCTGCCAGGTATGCTAATCACTTTGTGTTTCTTTTCCGAGACACATGTTTGAATCTTGCAAGTTTCTTGTTCGAAGCATATCTTGTTGTTGTTGATGTTACATGTTTCATGGACCGCCACTCGAATTAAGCCTCCGATTCCAGTCAAGAAATATGCAGATGTACAATAAGATCATAGCATCATCTGAGGCATTGTCCGTGACAGAAAGGTTATCACTGGATTTTAGAGACTTTGATATCGCACACACGTGAAACACGAGGCTCTGATTTGATGGATCGACACGTCCTATACCAGGGGACTGGCCAATCAATCAAAGCCAATGGGGCCCGCCCGTCGGGGAAACCAACATCGAAATCACACGTCAGTGAGCCCCGGGGTTGGTTTATGGTGGGTGGATGTGCCACGTATTATGAGTGGAAACGGTGCGAGTCTTAGCCATGCGTTCCGTCACATTATAGCCGGCTCACGTATGCCGCAGTGAACGGGCAAATGCGCCGATGCGATGGTATAGAAAAGGGTATAGAGTCGGTGTTGAGATTTTTGTGCACAAAGAATGATTCAAACTGAGGGTTCTGTTACTTGGAAATTTTCTTCATGAGTAGATTGCTGCATTTTAGTGTCTTTTACTTTGAGCTAAAATGACTTGTCAACTTGGTATAGAAATCAACAACAAAAAAACAAAATATTTTAGAGCAGGTATATTTTTATCTATCTTGATTTGTTGGTATAGAAATCAAAAAAAAAAAAAAAAAGACTTGCCACAGGACATGACACTTTCGCTTACTTGTTTAAGCCGAATCAAAGACTCGCCTAGTCGCCTTGGTGGCCATCTGAGTCATCATAGTGAGCCGGCTTGGTGGCTACTAGTTAGTCGCCTTGACGGCTTTCTGAGTCATCGCTTGGATAGCGAACCGGCTTGGTGGCTACCAGTTTGTCGCCATCTCGGTTGATCAAACGGCATCGGACACTCACATCAAAAGGGTACATGACTGACGTCTGTGTTCGAGTCATCTTAAATCATTCATCCGATTCGGATCACCACATGGTAAGGGTCAGCGATTGGTATGTCAATCATTGATGGGCTCGCTGTCCTGCAATGATCGACGATGGTGGGCCACGTGAGAGGAATTGAATATTGGGTGTCGTGGGCCACGTTCCAAAGTCGGTGAACGTGCCCGGAGCAGTAACGGATGTGGGATCCATGGCGTGACAAGTATGGCTTTCTTAAGGGAAAAATAAAGAAAAAGAATTTCCCCATCATACGTTGGTGGTTCAGTTCCTTGTGTTCTTAGTTCGTATTTAGCTGAAGAAACAAGGTATAATGTAATCGAATAATGTGAATCCTATATATGTGGGGTGAAATGCTATATATTCTCTTTGATTTGCAACGATCTCGGATCCAAAATGCTGAAATGGAGTTTGAACTTGCAGAATACCAGTGAATCCTCAAGGCGGAGAACAGAGAGATGGAAGCAAGAGCAAGGGCATTCCCCTCAAAGCAAACCTATCGGTTTGCCATGCTTCATTCTCGGACGCCGATCGTCCGGTCTACTGTTGCCCGGCCTGGAAAGACGCCGACCAAACCTTGCTCGACTTCGAGTTCCCGGATCCGTCGTCGCCGGTGCGTATCCGACGGCCTGCCCATCTCGTCGACGAGGAGTTCGTGGCCAAGTATGAGAGGGCGGTGGCCATCATGAAGCAGATCCCGCCTGACCATCCCCACAACTTTTGGCGCCAGGCCAACATGCACTGCCTCTACTGCACCGGCGCCTACGACCAGATGAACTCCTCTGCCCTCTTCAAGATCCACAGGTCATGGCTCTTCTTCCCCTGGCACCGAGCCTTCATCTATTTCCACGAGCGCATCCTCGGGAAGTTCATGGGAGACGACACCTTCGCGCTCCCCTACTGGAGCTGGGACACCCCCGAGGGCATGTGGTTCCCCGACATCTACCGGAAGGGAGCTCTGAATGAGACGGAGCGCGACGCCATTCACCTACGGGAGGCCGCCGTCGATGACTTCGACTACGTGGATCATGACCTCGCCAGCGACGTGCAGATCGCCGACAACCTCGCGTTCATGTACCACCAGATGATCTCGGGAGCGAAGAAGACCGAGCTGTTCATGGGTTGCAAGCTGCGGTCCGGCGTCGAGGGGTGGTGTGATGGGCCCGGGACGATCGAAGCGGCACCTCACAACACGTTGCACAGCTGGGTAGGGAACAGGTACAACCCCGAAAGAGAGAACATGGGGGCGTTCTACTCCGCCGCGCGAGACGAAGTGTTCTTCGCGCACCACTCCAACATCGACCGCATGTGGACCGTGTGGAAGAAGCTGCACGGCGACAAGCCGGAGTTCGTCGACCAGGAGTGGCTCGAGTCGGAGTTCACCTTCTACGACGAGAATGTGCGCCTGCGCAGGATCAAGGTGCGCGACGTGTTGAACATAGACAAACTCAGGTACCGGTACGAAGACATCGACATGCCATGGCTCGCTGCACGTCCCAAGCCTTCCGTTCACCCTAAGATCGCGCGCGACATATTGAAGAAGCGCAATGGCGAAGGCGTACTGAGAATGCCCGGCGAAACGGATCGTTCACAACTCTCCGAATATGGTAGCTGGACACTGGACAAGACCATCACCGTGAGGGTTGACAGGCCAAGGATCAACAGGACAGGGCAAGAAAAAGAGGAAGAAGAGGAGATCTTATTGGTCTACGGAATCGATACTAAGAGAAGCAGATTCGTCAAATTCGATGTGTTCATCAACGTCGTCGACGAAACCGTGCTGAGCCCAAAGTCGAGGGAGTTCGCAGGGACCTTCGTCAATCTCCACCACGTCTCGAGGACGAAAAGCCATGACGATGGCGGCATGGATTCGAAGATGAAAAGCCACCTTAAGCTCGGTATATCGGAACTTTTGGAAGACCTCGAGGCAGACGAAGATGACAGCATCTGGGTGACACTGGTGCCAAGAGGCGGCACGGGGGTCAACACCACCGTGGACGGCGTCCGGATCGACTACATGAAGTAGTGAACCAGCACGCCGCTCCTCCCCTCCCCATCAGAAGTGGTATAATATTTATATTGGATTGAGGCTCGTGGTATCTTTTGATAAGAGTAAGTTCCATAAATTTAGAAGAAGAATCATGTTCTTTATTTATATTAAATTAATGTGATTTGGCCATCAGCTCTCCATGAATGCGACGACATCAGCAGATGTAGCAGATGGTGTTGCATTTGCAGCTTGCTAAAGGCAAAGTCGAGTGTAGTGCATTTTCAGAGAGTGTCTTCCTCCTCCTCAATTAATTTTGGTTTCTTGAGATCCGAGAGACAATCCAACTTGTACGTCAATTGGTCTAGTCAAAGAAGAGAGAAAAGAAATGAATGACAAGTGGTCTGGGCTGAACCGGTTATGGCCCAGGACCAGACCCGGTTGAAGGCCGACCCATTATTCCCTCACAAGAATTATGGTGTCTAGTAATATACCTTTTTCTTTTGGGCTAAAGAAACCATTTGAGGAGAACAGAGTACCAATCCAACGATGCTTCCATCCACTTCATGGCTTTCTCTGATCTGAAATTAGATAGTATGTGATGCATCTAACTATTTCAGCTACCAAAAACTGGCACACAGGTTTGGAGTCCCCGACAAAAGGACTTGCCAAGCGTGAATATGCTTCTCGTAGCTCCTGCAGCGATCGAGACTAAAGAAGAGCGGCATCGAGAAATAGGCCAAGGAAAGAGACTAACGCTGCCTTCCCACTCGAGTTCCCGCAGTTCGAACTGGATGTGGCCCGCCCTTCGCATTCGTGTCACGGGATAAGCATCGCATGGGCCTTCCCTCCTCGACCATCTCGCTGGCCATCACCGCAAGCTTTCCCCGAGGATTATGATAGTCGGGACCAACTAAGAGGTCCATCGATCCTCATTATTATAATTTTCCGGCGAGGGGTCCAAAGGAGCCACATAACTCGGTAGGTGCGCTTTCTAATCAGTTCGCAGACAGCCAGGGAGCAGCAATTAGTGCTTCTCACTATATAGCCACAGTTCTTGGACCCACTGGGACATGATCCGAGTAAAGACGCATCAACTGGCGCCGGCGATAACTGGAAACACTTTGAATCGTGTTAGGTGCATCAGATGTTTATGCCAGGATAGATAGTTAAAATAGAGACTTCTCATGCCATCGGATTACTTTTCCATCAGAAGCTTGTGAACGGAGGTCGACGACAGAGGTTGAGAAAAAAACTCGTCAAAAAGTCAGGATTTGCCAGAATAGAAGATGCAATACAACCACCACCATCATCAGCCTTTTCCTAGCACCGCCGAGGCCTATCGACCGAGCTAGCAAAAGCGACAGCAATCAAGTTCCTTGAAGGGACGGACAGCGGACATCAACCTTGGAATCCGGAGTCCATCCACCGAGAAGACGCCAACAAGGGAAGAACTTCCATGCGAAAGCGCACACGAAGAAATGGCGTCTCATATCGAGCAGTTTTGAAGACTACAAAACAAGCGGAATATAACAAAAGAAGATGCGAAGAGATGATTGGGACGCAGAAGAAAGAAAACCATAGTTTAATATCAGAGTAATAAGCTTCAAACCTGATCTGATTTGGCGCGTTCTTTGATCGGAATGGGTGAAACCCGAACCCATCGAACAGGATTAGAGATCCCGATCCCCCCAGTCAAGCCACCACCTCACCTGCAGCGTCCGTAGATTCCTTCGTCTTGCCGATCCAAGCTTACATCCAGTCATCAATGTGGGACCCCATCTTTGCAATCTCACTCTTATCCACAGTATTTAGAGCGACGTATTCTTCAAATGGCGACATTGGGTGGCACCCCCGACCGTCTTGCCTTTTTCCCCATCTCTTTTCTGTTTAAATAATTGAAGGCAACACATACTTTGTGGGGCCTCAAGATTAGATCCAAAATGGCAATAAGATTGTGATCAACCAAAGCCTGCAACCGCAGATAAACGGTATATGTATATATATATATATATATATATATATATATATCGTAGGAGAGTACGAAGGGGAGCCTATTTTGGGATTCAAACGGTTTTCTTGGGGCAGCCACTGTGGGGAAATCGTTCTCCACCATTGTTTTTGTTTCCGTCATTTCCGAGCGAAAAAGATGATTGATTGCGTTTTTTGTTTTTCCTTCTTCGCCCAAATGAAACCAAGATTTTCCCCGTCCCTCCTGATCTGATACTCTTTGGAAGAAGGAGGAGATGATAGGAAAAGGGATAGGGAAAGTTCTCTTTTCGTAATCGGCCTCATTGGCGATATTTGTCTTCTCCCTTATTTCACTGGAATCGTCCATGGATCTGAGTGGGCTTTTAGTTCTGTAGGTGGAGAAAAGAAAGCCAAAGGCAAAAAAAAATGAAAATAAAAACAAAATAAAAAGATGGCTTTTTGCGACCCATTTCTTGTTCTTTGTTGAAGTCTGGGGATCTTCTTCTCACGCTTTAGTTCCTGGCCGTCGGAACAAAAGTGTTACTAGATTTCGATTTCACGTCCCGGCTCCCTTGGTCTCGTTTTGCTTCGGACAACCAGACAATCGTGAGGCTGTATGTCGCCTCCGGAGGAAAGGTTTTACCGGATGCCTCTGTAATCGCTGATGACTCAGAGAGAGAGAGAGAGAGAGAGAGAGAGAGAGAGAGAGAGGAGG